TTCCGAGTAGCCGGAAATTACAGGTGCGCGCTACCACGCCCGGCTGATTTTTTTGATTTATTGTAGAGATGAGGGCTCACCAAGTTGCCCAGGCGGGTCTCGAACCCGCGGGCTCAGGCAATCCACTCACCTCGGCCTCCCAAAGTGCTGGGATTACAGGCTGAGCCACCGAGCCCGACCCATAATAACCCTTTAATAAATGTTTTGTGAATAAACAAGTGTGAGTGAATGAAGGTTAAGAATTAAACTACTACAAAGGGAATTATATACAAAGAATCTAGGCAGGACATGCTTAATTGCCAAAACAAGTAACGTAAACCAGTGGAAAACATATTTGCCTCACTCCAGAATAATCCTGGAGGAGCTTCTTTTCTGGGGGGAGGTATAGGGTCTTGCTCTGTCACCCAGGCTGGGGTGCAGTGATAGTAGCTCACGGCAGCTTTGAACTCCTAGGCTTAAGCCATTCTCCTTCCTTAACCTCCCAAGTAGCTAGGATTAAAGCCGCGCACCACCACACCCAGTTGATTAAAAAAATTTTTTTATAGAGATGGGGTCTTGCTGTGTTGCCCAGGTTGGTCTCAAACTCCTGGCCTCAAGTGATCCTCCCGCCTTGGCCTCCCAAAGTGCTGGGATTACAGGCATGAGTCACTGTATCCTGCTTGGAAACGTCTTTAAACATCATAATAATAATAATAAAAAAAAACCAACACAATGAACTCCACCCTGCCTATTAAATGTTGAATCTTGGAGTGCATATTTTCATAAGTGATTTTTAATGCTGTGAGCTCAGCACCCAGACATCCTTGAGGAGCTGCTAGTAGAGTAAATGCTGGTCCTACAGAGGAGGGGACAAGCTCTGTGGGGCAGTGTGCACTGCCATGGATGGCTTCAGAGCTGGCCGGGGTGGACAACACTTCAGGCAGTGGGAACAGCATGTGTGACAGCCCAGAGGGACGAAACGATATGGCAGGTTTGAGAAGTTGGAAGTAGTTTGTGGCTGGACGTAGTTGTGGGTTTGAGGGTGGAGTGGTATGTTCTGATATTAGAAAGGTTCTGAACACAAAGGGCCTCGCATGCTCTGCTAAGAAGACTGTCCCCCTCCCCATGGGGCCAGGGGAAGGAAGTAACAGTTCTGTATTTTAGAACTATGGCAGGAGTAATAGAGAAGGGGTGAACTGCCATGAAAGACTAGGAGTAGAGAGATCCATTGGACAAGCACTTCACCTCCTGGTTTTTTAGCTGCCGAGTCTGTAAAATAAGGACAGCAGTGAGAAAGAGTGTTGTGATAGGGGAGGGAGGAGGGAGCACACCTCATCAATAAGGGCACCTGGTCTCAAGCCAGGTGAAGTGGGAACCAAAGTGAGGCCCAAATCTTACCTACACAATGACAATTTGTATCCCTAACTGAGTTGTACCCCGCAACTTAAAAACAAAACAGTGCTGTGATGAGGAATCCATGCTTAGAAGAGTGCCTCACACATGGTAGGTACCCAGCAAACATCAGGAAGTATAATTAGTAGCAGCAGAAGGCATGGTAAGAGAGGATGAGGGGCCTCAGGGTTGGTTCAGGCAGAGGCAGAGAGAATGGAAGGAGGGAACTAAGTCAAGAGGTATTTAAGCTATTCAAGCCTAAAGGTCAGGTGGGAATTCATTAGTTGGGCAGACAGAAAGGAGGAGAGCAAAAATATTATGAGTGGACATATTAGGAGTATTGGAGCGCAGTGAGCAAACTTGTTGTGCTGGAGAGTGAGATTGTGCAAGAAAACAATGAAAACTAATTATGTAACAGTAGTGTGGGCCTAGGCTATACAAGGTTAAGGTCAGGCTGAAACGTTTTTAAATTGTGGAAGCAATCAGAGCTCTTGAAGGACATTGGACTCAGATGGGGTCAGAGCCCCAGCTTTACCACGTGCTGTGACCTGGGGCAGGCGCCCCTAACTCGGAGCTGTCCAACTGATAATTGACTTTCTCTCCTCATGGAAATACCCGTATCTACCCTCTCCACAATGGGTGGCCACTGGATACTGGTCATGTGACTAATGTGACTGTGCCACTGAATTTTTAATTGTATTTCATTTTAATTAACTTTTTAATTTTTAAATTATTTTTATTATATTACATTTTATTTTTTATAATCAATATTTTTATTATGATATTGTGGGATACAGTTAGGGGTTAGGTATACAAATATGCTTCGTTCAGGCACCCTTGTTAACTTTTTTTTGAGTTAGGGTCTCACTCTGTTGTCCAGGCTGGAGTGCAGTGGCACTATCACAGCTTATTGCAGCCTTGACCTCCTGGGCTCAGGTGATCCTTCTGCCTCAGTCTCCTGAGTGGCTACGGGCTACTGTGGGACTATAGACCTGTGTAATCACACCTAGCTAATTCTTTTGTAAAGACAAGGTCTCACTATGTTGCCCAGGCTGGTCTCAAAATCCTGGTCTCAAGCAATCCTCCTGCCTTGATCTCTCAAAGTGCGGGGACTACACATGTGAACCACTGCACCCAGTATCATTTTAATTACCTTTAACTTTAACAACTGCATGTGGCTAGCGGCTGCTATGCTGGCCAGCACGGGTAGAACTTTTCGGGACCTCTGTTGCTCCATTTATAGAAAGGAAATGGTGATGATACCTCATAGGCTTGTTTTAACACCGAGATACTATAGTTAAAGTGCTCGACAGAGTCATCCAACAAATTATTGTTGCCATTGTTGAAGCTGTTATTATTATTATTGAACAGGGATAGAATGACATAAACTAGGTCTTAGGAAGATTAGTTAGACTGTAATACCCAGGTTAGATTTGAAAAAGTGTAGAGGACAAAGCATTCGCAAGGTTATTTCATTGCTAAGGTGCAAGATCATTAAGATCTTATCTAGGTCGGGCGCAGTGGCTCAAGACTGTAATCCCAGCACTTTGGGAGGCTGAGGCGAGAGGATTGCCTGAGCCTGTGGGTTTGTGACCAGCGTGGGCAACGTGGTGAGACCTCATCTCTACAATAAACCAAAAAATTAGCCAGGTGTGGTAGCATGTGCCTGTAGTTCTGGCTACTTGGAAGGCTGAGGTGGAAGGATCGCCAGAGACCAGCAGGTTGATGCTGGGGTGGCCATGAGGGTGACAGAGTAAAACTCCAACTACCTCCCCCCAAAAAGATCTTATCTGGAGAAAGGCCATGAGAATGGCAAGGAATGGAAGGATTGTGGAGCTGCAAAGTACACGTATGTGCACCACGCGTATACATCTTCTCACATCAGCTTTCTTTCCAAGGTATTCTCAAAGTGTACACTCCCATCCCGACCCAGGACAGACACCATTGCGTCCCCTACAAGAAAGATAGCCACTCTCCCTGTCTGCGGCAGAGACCACTATTGTTCACTCATACCTGTGTGTCTCTTCTTCCGGGCATGGGCACGTGACCTCCTAAATCTGAACTACATGTCCCAGCCTCCTTCCAGTTAATCTGATGCCATGAGATCATGTTCTGAGCAACTGAATGAAAGCAGAAACCTGTGTGCCCTTTCAAGGCTAGATGCATAAAAATCTCCAATACGTGCTGCCTTCCCTCTTTCTGTTGTGTGATGGCTTTAGAGGCCATATGTTGAAGTCAGCAGCACCACATGATGGAAAGAGCCTGAAGCCTTGAGTGAATGGATGGAGCCGAGCCGCCACCACACCCCAGACCCTCGCTGAACTGGACCATAAAATTGTACAAGAAAACAATGAAAACTAATTATACAACAGTATAATTAGTGGGCCCCCAAGTTGTATAAGGCTGAGGACAGGCCGAAACGTTTTTAAATTGTGGAAGCAATCTGACTTCTTGAAGGGCACTGGACTCAAATAGGGTCAGAGCCCCAGCTTCACCACTGAGGTTTCAGGGTTGTTTGTTACAGCTAACCTTATTATCCTAATACACCAGCCCTCATTCCATTCCAGGTCATCTAGACAGTCCTATACAGACAACCTATCTGAACCATCGATTGCTCTGAAGTCTCTTTTCAACTAGGCCCCACCAATACTAAGGCAGATTTCCAACTCCCATCTGTAGACACCCTCCCTCCTAAGAAATTCTGCCTCGCTCCCTCCCAAAAGGCACATTCCAGACATATCTTCTGCCACCATGCTATGTCAAGGATACACCCACTAAGCCATCTTCCAGATGATTAAGTTTATTGAACTTGTCAGGGCTTCCTCTTCTCTTCTTCTTAATTCCCATGCAGAGGGACCTCTGCTGCCCCTGGGGCATGTCCTTGTTTACTGTTGCTCAGAACCAAACCTAGGGGTCATCTCTGAGTTCTCCCTTTCCCATCCCCTAAGTTCAATTTATTACAAAACACAGTGGACCTGCCCTCTCTCTTCATCTCCACTGTCACTAGTCCAGCCACCATCATCACCACCTGCCCACCTGCAGCAGCCACCTGACTTGCCCTCCTCTGTTCATCCACTCTCTATCCAGCAGTTGGAGGGATCTTTTAAAAATAACAAACAGCTATGTGCAGTGGTTCCCTCCTGTAATCTCAATACTTGGGAGGCCAAGGCAGGAGGATCGCTTGAGCCCAGGAGTTCAAGACCAGCCTGGGGCAACATAGCAAGACCCTGGCTCTAAAAAACAAACAAAACAGAACATGGTACTCCCCTGCTTCAATCCTTCCAATAGCCTCCCAAGCTCTTAGAGTAAATTCATAGGGTCTTGCCAACTCTAACCTGCCTCACAAACCCCTGCTCATTTCACTTCAGGCACACTGGCCTTCCTGTGGCTTCCTAAACATGCCACACTTGTTCCTGCCCCAGGGTCTTTGTGCCTGGTCCCTGAGTGCTAAGACTGATCATTCAAGCCTCAGCTCAAATGTGACCTCCTCAGAGGATACCTCACCCTGTTTTATTTCCTCCACAGCATTTACCACACATGAAACTGTCTTATGTATTTATCCTTTCCATCCCACTCCTGTAGTCCCCATTGGAATAAATCCTCCAGGAGAAGAGGGGCTTCCTGATTTTCCTGGGACTTTTCAAGTCCCATGTCTCAGAAAACCCTTCACTTGAGGGAAAAACATTATGGTTAGTGACTCTATTGCCTGACTCGATCGCTCTTGTATTCCCAGTACCTGGTACCAGGTGTCTAGGTAAGAACTCAGTAAATATTCATGCCGTAAATAAAAAATGGCTGCATGTCCATAAGAATTATTTGATCCTGGCTCCAGGGGGCAGCCTTCTCCAACCTTGGACCTTCAGGCTCAGCTTTGCAGACTAGGTTAGTCTTGTGTGAATGAATTTAGGTGGTGAGTTCCACCAGATTCTCCTCAGATCCTACATGGTCTCCTTGCCCACCCCTGCTCTCATGGAGTTCAAAGTTAAGGACCCAGGCTATGGCAGCCCAAGGCTGTGCCTGACTCAGAGGTGGATTCCTTTCCCCTCCCCACCCGACTCAGGTCACCCCCTGCAGCTTTGTCTTCTTGAGTTGGAGCTTGCAGACCACAGAACAGAAAGGACTGTCTTAGAGGGGAGCAGCAGGTGGTTGGCTGCAGAGAGAGGCTGCCCCCTCACCACACATTCACTGCAGGAAAGACTCAGATCCAGGGTTCACCTTGGGCCTGGAATGCTGCTCCCCAGGGCAGGGGCTGCCTTCTGCCCCTAGAAGAGGATCGCCTCAGTTCTCAAGGTCAAAATGAAACTACTCGGAGTCTGGGTTCTGGCTGAGACCTCACTTCCTCTGCCTGCCCATTGACAGCCTAGAGGTTTGTGCAGAAGGTAGCCTGGCAAGTGAGAAGATGCTTAGCGGAAGCAAGAGGTCTTTGCGCTCACCAGCTAGAAGAGCATCAGAGGCAGGACCAGAGGCTGCATTAAGGGTGGGGAGGGAGACACAGTCACAGAAGTCCAGGGAGAGCAGCATTTGGTAGCCAGGGCCTAGGCCTATTCACCTCTCCTGGTGTTCTCTGGGGACCTCCACCTCCTGACCTGAAGCCCCAATCACAGGTAGCCTGCTCTGATTCTCTCCTTTCATACTGAGGGGGTTATTGTTGGATGGGGAGGACACAGTGGGTAAAGTCAGCAGTTCACCTCAACAGGGACTTGAGGCTGGGGACAAATGGTCCTGATTCACTTGGGTGACTCCTTGGGAGCTGCAGGGGGATAGAGAAAGGCAGATTACAGCACTGTGAGGAGTGAGCAAACAATAAGGCTTGGGGCAGGAGGGGAGGGCATTAACTCTTTCCCAAGGGCAGAGCCTGGTGCAGGGTTAATCAATATTTGACCTTTAGATTTGAATTTGGGGATGGGCTTGTTGAATGAGAAAGTTACCACAGAACCTTCATGAATGCATGTAGGTCCCCTCTGTCCAACTGCATGAGTGCCAGGTGAAGTAAAGGACAAGAAATAAGACGGTCACCCGTGCTAAGTCAAGAATGGCACCCTGGAGAGGCTCGAGTAGCCACATCTGATGGCACTTTCTAGAAGGGAGAGGGGGTAGACAAGTGAAGGACTGAAGTCGTGGGAGTAATGGTGATTGGTCAAGAACTGGGTGGACAGGTCCTGGGAGGAAAGTCAGATCTGGGGAAGCCATGAAGGAGGTGAGAGGACCCGTGGCAGGAGACGGAGGAAATCCATTTACTGTTTAGCACAGGAAACCATTCCTGAGGGCCTTCTATGTACATGGCACTGACCATGCAAGGCTGCAGAGCAAATCAGAGACAGTTCCCACCCTCTGGCACTTACCTTCTCCTAGAGGAGGAATCACAAAACAGTTATGCAATTCTTTAATCTCACCGTGGCGAGTACCCTGCGTGTGGCAGGGAAATGGGACCCCGCAGGGATAAGCCTGACACAGGCTGGGCCCAGTGTGGGGAGGATTGCCAGGCTGGAAGCAGTACCAGGCGAGAAGCTGCCACTTTGCCTGGCTCCTGGGTCCAGCAGGCATCCTCTGGTGAGGCCGAGGAGGCTGGGTCTGGGGAGCACTGAAGCAGATTAGATCAGGATTCAGACTAGCCCTGCAGTGTGCTTAAGTGGTGCACACTGACCAGGCCTCCACTTCTCCCTGAGTTACAGCACCTAGAGAAGAAGGAGAGGCCAAAGTTGAGGAGCAGGAAGGACCTCCTGCACCCCTGGGGTGGGAAGTCAAGGGCAGGGGCTTCCTGGGACTGCCTCTCCATCCTGGGGCCAAGGCTGAGGGGGTGGCTTGTGTCTGTATCTCTCAGGTGGAATTGCAGACTTTCTCCCACTTTTCTGTTTCCCTCTCCAGACCCCACTTTTCTGGTTTCCTTCTCTGATTCCACTTTCCTGTTTCCCTCTCTGGACCCTCACCTTAACATCCACCCCTGATCCCTTGCCAGGTTCTCTCTGGAGGGAGGAAACGGGCAGTGGAGCTGCTGTCAGGAAGTATTTGGACCGTTCATCTTCCTGTCTGACCCCAGTATTTCCTGAGTGGGATTTGGGGGAGGGATTGGGGTCTTATCCACAGCCCCTTCCCTGCCAGTCAGTGCTCTGGATCCTGCCTAAATGACCAGGCCTGGGAGACGGAACTGGGCATCTCATGAGCAGGGGCCACGGTCCTTCCGGGACCCCTCCCTCAGGGTCCTGCAGTTGCCCTGCCAAGTCTTTGAAACCAGAGGGCAAAGTGGGCATAGGGTTTGAGTCCTGGACAGAGGCCAAGAACCCAGGATGATCAGAAGATGGGAACACTGAAGACAAGGGTTTTGGGAAGCCTGGGACCTTGGGAAGAGGGAAGTGGGGAAGAGGTGGTAGGTAGGGAGGGTGGCCAGCCTCGGGACAGAGGAACAGGGGTGAGGGGAAGACGGGAGCCTGAGAGAAAGTGGCCACAACTGGAATGGAGCAGCCATGTCAGAACACCAATCACTCAAGGTCAGATGTAGTGTCTCCTGGGAAACACACACACACACACACACACACACACACACACACACACACACACACGCTCTTTGAGAAGCAGAAGTTGGGGGTTGGGAAACAGCCACTCATTTCTGCATGTTCTTGTAATACCAAGTTTACCTAAGAGGCAGGCTGCACCCCTCCCTTTGGGGGCATCTTCTCTCTTACCCTCCCAGCCACCCTCTCCCCACCCTCCGACCACCAGCATCACCACCAGAGGTCTGTTTGGTGATTGTTTCCTTGCCCCTATCATGCACGGGTGGCTTGAGCACCCACTAGAAGAATGTGCCTCCAGGAAAAAAATGCTCTTGCCTCTGCAACTTCCTGCAGGTCTCCAGCCCTGGTTGTGAGCCTGGCTTGCCCTCCTCCCCCTCCTAGAGGAGGCAGGAGCCCATCCCTCCTGTGTCCCATCACTGTCATAAGTGGTTTATGAGTGACTGGCTGTGACCTGTTAGTCCTAGGAAGCTTTGGCTTGGTGCCCATCAATGTTCCAGCTCCCTGCCTCTGCCCCCACCCCAGGAATGGGCAGTAGCAGAGATGGGGGAACTGAACTAGAACCGCCCTTGGGCAAAGGAGCCTGGGCAAGAGTCAGAGGGCTTTAAACCATGCACAGTCAGGAGATAGTGTCCAGATGAGGCACCTGGGCTCCCTTCTCAATCTCTCCCCACTGTTGACCAACCATGGCCAATGTAGACCCTTAGGGGTGCTAGGGGAAGGCCAGCTATGAGTCAAGGTCCTGGCACAGCCTCACATCCCCTACTGCTGCATCTCAGAGTTGGCCTCCAAGTTGGCCCTTCTCTGCAGTCCCACGGGAGGCCTATTAGGAAGTGTTCTTACTCCCCACTCTCTATACCACCGGTCACGCTCAAATATCATGGCTGAGCCCTGTGAACAAAGTTGACAGCACAGGACGGAGGAGAAATGAGTAGGAGACAAGGAAGCAGCAAGGAGGGAGAGAGATGGAATGAGAGGCCTTGACAATGGGAAACTGGTTCCTCTCCCTTGCATTCTGTCCAGGGTCTAGGCCCATAGCAGGCACCAGATGACATTCTGTGATTCCCATTTATTTTGTTTCCACCTACTTTATGCCAGACACTGTGCTGGGCAGGGAGAGCCCACCAGATTAGTGAGTTGGGGAGATGAAAGATAATCTCATTAAGCTATATGGCCCTGAAGCTTTGGGCCAGTATCTGCTACTCAGTTTCAGGTCTCCAGTTTATAGCAGAGTTCTGGCACCTCCAGTAAATGCTGTTGAGTGAATGAAGGATTCTTTGAAGATTTTTTTTGTCATGAATAAGGTTTATTTTTAAGAAAAAAGTGAATAGCCAAAACAAAATGGTTTCAAAGTATTTAAAGCTTAAGGAGGGGAAAGTCATTGATGATTGACCATATTTTCATTTTTCAATGGTTTTAATTTTGTATAAAGATTTTAATTAAGCTCCACACACTAAGCAGTTTTTAAACTTGGGTTTCATGATTCTTTTGACTTCATGCTTTTAAATGGAGTCATTTATCTTCAAAACATGACAAATTTCAGAATCCATTACAAATTATTTTATTCAAATTATGTTTTCCAAAAGAGAGGGTTCTGTGCTAGTCGTCTTTGAAAGTTTTCATCCCATTTCAAAACCACATTTGCTGGAATGAACATTTCAGATGGGTTTGGTGTCATCTGGGCCTGAGAGATAGCAAACAATGAAGCAAAATTGTAGAAGTTGTCCAACATATTTTGTGTGAACTGAGTGAATGAGTCAACTGAAGATACAGCAGCACTGCCTACAGGAGTCTGCTGAACCAGACTGTCCAATAATTCCACTGAAATTCCAATCTGAGCAACAGATGGAGTTTGGACAATATTCATGGCTCCAAAAGGATGCTGGCTTCCTTCTCCAGATTTAAGACCTGAAATTTTGAAGATGGCACTTGTTTTTCCACTCATGACAAATCCTAGGAGTTGCCATACAGGTATTCCATTTGAATCAGGATAGGAAAAGTAGACAGATCCTCCCATTCCCTCAGGAAATGGGACTGTTCCCAGCATAAAAACCACAACATGGTTGATACTTTCATAATCAGGCAAGTCAAAAACAGCTGCCACTTGCTGTGCAGCTGTTTGCACCATCCTCCCCACCACCAAGCAGCCAAACATGGCGGCGGTGGCAGCAGCTCCGTTTAGGTGCCAGGGACCTGAGGCCAGCGACCTCTTTGAAGATTCTTGTGGCATTTTACAGGAAGGACTGAATGAGGCAAGGTTGAAAGTAGTGATCAGGGGCAGGGGATAGGAGAATACAGTAGTGGTTAAAAATATGGACTCTGGGCACGGTGGCTCAAGCCTATAATCCCAACATTTTGGGAGGCCGAGATGAGAGGATTGCCTGAACCCGTGGGCTCGAGATGAGCCTGGGCAACATGGTGAGACCTTGTTTCTACAATAAATTTAAAAATTAGCTGACATGGTAGTGTGCACCTGTAGTTCCGGCTACTTGGAAGGCTGAGGCGGAAGGATCACCTGAGCCAAGCAGATCGAGGCTGCAGTGGCCATGAGCAGCGAGCCACTACACTCCAGCCTGGGCAACAGAGTGAGACACCAACTCAAAAAAAAAAAAAAAAATGGACTCTGGGAGCCAGACTTGGTGGCTCATGCCTGTAATCCCAGCATTCTAAGAGGCCAACGCAGGAAGACTGCTTGAGGCCAGAGTTTGAGAATAGTCTGGGCAACATAGTGAGACCTTGTCTCTACAAAAACAAATTTTTGTATAAATTAGCTAGGCATGGTGGCATGTACCTGTAGTCCAAACTACTTGGGAGGCTGAGGTGGGAGGATTGCTTGAGTCCAGGAGTTTGAGGCTGCAGTGAGCTATAATTGTACCACTGTACTCTAGCCTGAGTGACAGAGGGGACCATATCTCTAAAAAAAAATTTAAAAAAATAAAAAAGAATATGGACTCTGCAGCTAGACTGGTTGAGTCTGGTTGTACGATTTACTAGCTGTGTGACTTTGGGCAAGTTACTTCTTTGTGACTCAGTTTCCTCACTTGCAAATAGGAATTGTTCTGAGGGTTAAATATATATATATATATAAAGTGACTAACAAAGTTTGCTGCACACAGTAAGTACCAGAAGAGACCACTGCTAGGTTACAGCAGTTGCAGTGGGGATGGGGTATAAAGGAGAGACGCAGGAGATGCTTCACTGGTTGAATCAACCAGACCTGACATCTGATTGGACATGGGAGAAGGAGGGATCTGGTGGATCAGATACCTTGCTTAGGCAGTGGTGGAGCTCTGGGAGCTCTTAAGAGAGTCAAGGCAGGAAGAGGGGCACCCTGGGCTAGGAAGGGAGTTTTGGACACACAGAGTGTGAGGTTCCTGTGGCAATCCAGGAAGCTACAGATGGGCTCACCTGCACAGAACTCAGCAAAGAGCTGGTGGCAAAAATACAGCCCAGAGTCACAGCCGGGTCCAAGAAGCCCTTCTCACCCATACCACCCTCCTTGACTCTTTGTAAGAGCCTCTGCCACCTCCCTGAAGGGAGAGGGGAGGGTTCGAGGAAGCTCATGACCTGGTGGGAGCTCATAGTGGGTGGAGGGTGTCAAGGGGGCCTGCTGTTCAGCTGCCTTCAACCACACACAGGTGTAGGGCTTTTCCCCTGCTGTGGGAGCTGTCAGAGTGTTTGAGAGGCAGGACTGCTAGTGGTAAAAGCATATAAACTTGAAATCACCTGGGAGAATTGCTCACTGCCCCACCACTTCCCAATATGGGACCCTGGGCAAGTCATTTAGCCTCTTCATGACTCAGCTCCCTCTTCTGTAAAATGGGACAACAATAATAATCAGTGAATGTATATAACATTCAACAATTAAATGGTGAATATATATAAAGTATCAAAAACAAGGCCTGGTGCATGTTGGTTATTGTGATTATTATTTATTCTGTCCTAACACACCTACTAGGCATCTAAATAACAGCCAGAGGAGGGTGGAGGCTGCACCAGGACATGACATGATTGTCCCCAAGATGACTCACCATGTCTTTGTCAGACATACTTCCAGTCCCTTGCTCCCTCCAAGGCCACAGCCTGGATCAAATATCTACTAAGCAGTACTTCTACTGGCCAGAACCCATCCAGGAACCCTGAGAAGGGAAAAACCTGCCCCATCATCTTCCTTGGTGAGAGGGTGGGGCCTTGCCTGATAGCAATAGAAGTGGGACAAGTGGGGGTTCCAACCCCTACGATCCTCCCAGGGTACCAGTGAACAGGTGACCACCCCAGGCCACCTTCTTATTGATGGAGTGGGAAGAGGGGAAATAAGAAAGAGAAGGAAACAAAAAAGGCAAGAGTAGTGTTGAAAGGGAACATAGATTGGGGGAGAGTGGGTTTGGAACATTTTCATTTCCACCTATTTGAATGACTTTCTTCGGATCCTTGCCCCCTGAAGCTCTCCCACACTCTGCCACATACACACTCCGCTTCCCTTTCCTTAGGCATAGAATACATGCAGAGTATATGTAGTATAGCACGGGGATAAGTGGAGGCAGACAGCCTGGATTCAAGCCCCAACTCCACTATCCACTAGCTGTGTGACCCTGGCAAGTTACTTTATTCCCTGAGCTTCAGTTTCCCCATCTGTAAAATGGGGATAACAGTAGTACCTACCTTGTAGGATTGTGAAAAAAAGCACTTGGAACAGGGTCGGTAATGAGCTTTTGTGACTCTGCTGAAAGGTCTGCAAGTAAGTAGGTGCCCTGCCTCACTCCTAGCTTATCTTCTACCTGCTCAAAGTAGGTGCTGCAGGAATAAAAAACAGGGGACCCCTTCCCCCATAAGTCTCAGGAACTTCTGCAAGGATGTCTAGGCCAGGCCACTGGCCTCAGCAATCTGAAACTCACGAATCCACCAGCCCTAACTCTTCCTGATGCATACCTGTGACTCCCAGCCTGTCATCCTTTCCTGCCAGCATCCAAGGTGTTCTTTCTTCTTCCAACTTACCAGAACTTGGGTGGACCCGTTTGAGCTAGAGGTGAAATTCATTCTCAGGCTCCTCTCCTTCCCTGGAGAGCCATTTAAGACTCTACCAGGGGTTCTCAAAGTGTAGACACAGCAGATGACCTGGGGTGTTTGTTCAAAATACAGATTTTTTTCCATTTTATGTCAATAGGATTGCATCTGAATTTAGGGGGATAGAACTTGCATTTTAATAAGCCCCTGGGGGAAAATTTTATACACATACACATTAAAATTGAGATTTTTAAACACAATTAACATTCCTCCTCCTCCTTCAATAAAATAATCATCGGTGGAGGATGGGGCTCAGGATCCCAAAGGAGGAGGTAGAGGTTTGTCAGAGATGTTTCTTCCGTCCAGAGAGGCTCACCAGCAAATGGAAAGGGGAGGAGAAGGGGTAAAACCGAGTGAGTCCTAGAAAGCTGGGGGCGGAGTATGCGCCTCCTTCCAAACCCTCATTATCGTCTTGAGCAATCACCGGACGCCACGCGACTCGCTGTCCCGGGGCCACTGTCTCTCCACCCTCGCGGAAAACAGGAATGGGGTGAAGAGGGCGGCGCTGGGCCACATGCACAGGAGTGGAAACTGAGGCTCAGGGAAGCCTGGGTCCGGTACCGAGCCTGCATAGCAGGACGCTGGAATCCCAAGGTTCGGCCTCAACCTGCCTGGTCGCCAGGGGGCGCGGCCCTCCAAACCCCCTTTTGTCCTAGAAGCTTTGCCACCGCGCCAGCCTCCTCCAGGGGCCGCAACTCCAGCCCCCCATCCACTCGGGAGCGCGATCCTTCCTCTCTAGTCTCAGTTTTCTCATCCGCTCCCGGTGTGTGTGTGTTGGGGGATAGGGAGCGTGCGTCTGGGAACACAACAGTGGGGGGCTAGGCAGCGGGATTCCCCACGGGAAAGCTGCCCAATCCTTCCCCGGGACTGTTGAGACCCTGAACCGAAACAGGAGACAAACGCCCCCGGCCGGGAAGAGGCCCCAGCCCGGATTTCCCTCTGGGGTGGGGCTGCAGTGACTCATCCCCCTCCCCCCTTTCCCCGGTTTCCTTGTTTGCATTTCTCCTCCCGGCCACGTGGCGGCCAGTGCAGCCACCCACAGCCCCTTCCCCGGCATCCCGGCTGCGGCGCCCCCTGCAAACACCTAGGGGTGCTCCTGCTCCCAGGGGGCTCTCGGGGCTCTGGCTCAAGCCCGTTCTACATACCAGGGGGTCCCGACTCCACTCCCCGCCGGTGCCCGCCCCTTCCCCTACGCACTCCCCTACTCAAGGCAAGGCGCCTCCTCCCGCCCCTTTGGCCCGTCTGGGGAGGAGAAGGGGGCGGGCGGCGCAGGGGGTGTGACAGCTCCCGTCCGGACCAGTGCCAGCTGCAGCCTTGCTTCAGCGCCCGGTGCCAGCTGGCTCTTTCGTCCGGGACGAAGGCTGAGGCTCGGGGCTCCTTGTCGCTGGGGTGGGGGGGGTTCCCCCCCACCACGTCCCCAGCCTTCCACACACCCGACAGGAGCCTCTCCACTACCTCGCCCTGCATCCTGCTGTCCCGGCAGCAGGTCCAGCTAGGGACTAGCCCTAGTCGCTGCACACGGACTTACCCCCAGCACCCTCCAGGAGCCCCTTTCAGAGCTGACAGGGGCTCTCTGGGGACCCACAGCCTTTTGCTAGAGCCTGCACGGCTGTGCGAGCTTGAGGAGGAACATGAAGGTGGGTGAGGTGGGGTAAGGGTTGAGGAGGGCCAGGAGAGGGCGGGAGAGGAAGCTGACATGGGAGGGAGTTTGGGTGGGAGCGCGAGGGTTGGTCAGGGGTGAGGGAGGAGGGGAGGAGAATGGTTTGAGCCAAAGCTGCGTTTCTGGGGGATCCAGTGAGCCCACAGCCTCATACTGTGCAGTGGCAGAGATCCCTGCAGGGGCATGGCCAACGGGATGGGACAGAATTCCAAAGAGGACTGAGGAGGGCCCATCTTCTCCTGGGCCAGCGGGAAACCCCTCAGTGCGCCAGACCGGCAGGCCCCAGTGAAGGTCTTCCTGTTCCTCCCCCCCGAGCTCCTGGCAGGCTTGCTGCACCTCTGCCTGACCAGTCCAGGGGACTCTGAGGAAGTGGCTCTGCCTGGGGCAGTTGTGCTGTGGTCCAGCTGCCCCAGCCCTGTCCCATGGCTGTCTACCTTCCTCCCCATGTCACAGGTGGGCTGGCCAGGTGAGAGCCGC